GCTCATAGCTCAACTCAACTCTTTAAAAGCTTAATATTTTGTTTTTGAGAGATGGAGTGAAAGCAATTTGGTGATAATTATAATTTGGAAGAAAATGTAAATTTTGAAATGCCTTACTAGAGCCATTACAGTGATGTGGAATCAGTACCTTTGGGGTCAGAAAGAAACAGGATTCAATTCCAGCTCCACCATTTGGTCAAGTTATTGAAAGTCTCTGAAACTTAGTTTCTTCATTTGGAAAATAGAGAGAAAGAATAACTTTTACAAGGTTACCAGGACTAAATGCGATAACACATGTAGAGTCCTGACATACAGTAGTTATACACTATATGTTCAGAGTTTCCACTCCCTATATGATGATGTTTCTAAACACTTTATTCACAGAGAGGAGAAATGCTTCATTTGGGCCACATGGTGTTTTATTTTTTAAATTTGAACTATATGACAACACTTAAAACTTGTTGATATAATCTCTGAATTTCTAATTTTGTCTGAAGTTTGCAAAGACTGGGACCATCATGGGGCATCAGTCTGTGGGAACCAAGTTGCTGCTCTCTCCATTTCTTCAGTTCCCACCACTCCTATTGTCTTACACCAGCTTCTCTCATAAATCCTTCCTGGCCCAAGACATTCGTGTTTTTGACTTCTCGTCAGAGTAAAAGTACAGTGAAAAGGTAGAGTTATGCCAAAAAGCTTGCTAAGACATTTGGGAGCCAGATTTTGAAGGAGGTTCATGGACATAGAATATGTGTTTATGAAGATGCTTAAAGCTGCGGTCTCTGACTGGACCTCTGATTTAAGCATGCTCTCATAAGTCCTTAATGGGATTCTTTTACACTTAGAGAAGATTAGCAATGATGTGTTTAGCATAAAATCACCAAAATTAGTTCATGCATATAGGGGATTAGAAAGAAGAAAGAGGGGCCAGATGATGGTACAGCAGTAAAGCACAATGCTCTGCAAAACTGACCAGCATGAGAAGGATCTAGGTTTGTATCCGGAGACCTCTCTGAGTAGTCTGGACACACATGTGCCCATAATCTAGGTCCGGCTGATGCTGGGACTGGATCACAGCATCAAGACACTGTTGGTGCTCTTCCTCTATCTGTCTGTCTGTCCTTCTCCCTCTTTCTGATTATCTTGCTTATAGGAGAAATAAATTAATATTTTTTGAAAAATAGAAGAATAAAGTTATTTTCTAGTCCAAGCATAGCTTTTATTGGGGTACACATCACCCACCATTCACCACCCTGCCAGCAATGCAAGAAGCATGTTTCTTAAGTGTCATTTCCCAGCCATTAGGATTAGAGGAATTCAAGCAAAAAAAGGCAGAGGGAAGTCTGGTAAAGCAAACTATGCCTTTCTGTATAGGTAGAACAACAACAAATATTGAGATAATTGTCTGTATAAATCAGTCTAAAGCAAATCAAAGAAATTCAACCAAGAAGTGGGCATTTTGCCTGAATTATGGAGCTAATTATCTCAATCCTGCTCTTCAGTGTTCCTAGGGAGACCTGGCCCAAGAATGTTTTTCTAGTGAGCTGGCAGATAGAGAAGTGGAGAGAAAATGTATTATTATAAGCACAGCTGTGTACTTGGAGCTTAGTGCTGCTCTGTCCAAAACACCTGCAGAGAACATCCAGGCCTGGGCTCTAGTTCACAGGCCAGAAGACTAGCTGGACAACAGGGCTGGTCTACAGAAGATGACCATGGTCTGTGTGTAGAAAGAGGGCATGACTGTGCCCAGGGGAGTCACCTGCTTACCTTTCAAAATCTGTATGACTTTGTACTGTCAGAGACATTACAGGTGATATTCACTTTTCTGTTTATGTTTCCAGTGTATCTGTTTTCAAACAACTTTCAGCAATAAAAAGGGCAACTTATTAATGAAACTCTTCTGCCTTCAAAGTATGAAATTAAAAGATTATTATAACTACAGGCAAGAAAGCATTTGGATTATGTGTCATTTAGAAATGATAATAAAGATTATCCATATGGTCTGATGTTGCAATGCCTTACGTTGCATTAGCAATCACCTAATATGGGATAATTTTGATTACGTGGCTCATTGCAAATTCTGTTGTGTCCTAGGTCGGTGTCAAGATGATTTACCAGAAAAAGCTACCATTTTCCTTTGTAAATGCTGCTGCTAGGTGCTTGCACAGAATTAATATATTTTTAGGATATGGTGTTTTTGGAATTGTGGTGGTATGGTCTTTTTTTTTTCTTTCTTTCTTTAAGGCTTTTGCCATAGAGCAAGTGAGCTCACCAGAGAAACAGAGCGATAGTGAGAGAGAAAGTGAGAAATCATCATGAGGATCAGGGGTGGCCATGCCACAATCCCTTTTCTTCCACTCTTCTCATGGGATTTTGGACACACACACATACACATATGTGCATGCGCACCTGGCATGATTTTCAAGCTGCTAGATCCAAGACTCAGACTGCAGTCAGTCATGTGGGAATCCAGCAACTTAATCACCATGCCACCTGCTGTCCCCTGCTATAGTCTTCTTAAACCTTCTCATTTTATACTTTCTCCTTAAACATCTCTAATTCTTACTGTCTTAGGTGCATAAAACAACCTCTAGTAGCAAGATCTATAAGAATGTGTTATATCTGGAGAAGAGGCCAGGCCTTCAGAAGGTTCCACATGGCTCCAGTGAACTAGATTTTTCAGGGAATGAAAATTTTCTACTGATAATTCAGCCTCCAGCAAATGAGCTAGCGATGGATCTAAGGGCACTGGAGCTAAACATCCAAATACTAAGAGGGTTAAAATATTCCCCAATATCTACTGAATCTGTTGCACCAGCGATCACAACAGAACAGCAAAGAGATTCTAGATGACCTCTGTCTGCTTGCTCCTGAACATTCAGGCTGAACTTCAAGAATTTGAAAGAAACACACTATCCATCAGATGACAAGAAATCACCGCAGGATCACAAGAAATATGGGAAAACAAGAAAATACCTCTCCTCCAAGGGAAAAGAGTAACTCTTCTTCATCCACAAGCAGTTCAGTGAAAGTCAGGAAATGTCTGATAAGGAAGTTAGAGCATTCATAATGTCGAAGCTAACAGAGATGGAAGAGAAGAGAGATAATGAACTGCTAAAGAGAAAGGAGAAAGAAGTTGACGAGTTCCAGGAAATGAGGAAATTCTTGCAAGATCTAAAAGAGGAATTACACACTTTACAAAAGACTCAAATGGAACTGCTAGAGATGAAGTCTATAATACAAGAAGTCAAAATCTCCCTTGAAAGTATTAAAAGCAGACTAGATCATTCAAAAAATAGAATCTCAGATGTAGAAGAGAAAATGGCTGGCCTAGAAAAATCCACCACGACGACTGGCCCAAAAATTTGAGAATAATATGTGAGAAGTACTAGATACCATCAAACGTCCAAATATCCAGATAATTGGCATTCCAGAAGGTGAAGAGACCCATAAGGTCATTGATAATCTATTCCATGAGCCCCAGCTAGGTGCTACTTTATAGGATGCGTAAAGTTAGACTTGTGTTCATGGAAATGTGTGTGTCACCTGTGTTTGCTATGAGGATATTTGGATTGATTAGGGTCTTTGGTGATTCAATAAAATGTGGGGGAAAAACAGTATAGAAAACAAACATAGATACCAGAGACAGTATGGGAGGAGAGTGGGAGATGGCAGAGGGTAAGAGATAGGGAATCAAGGATGGGGAAAAAAAAGCAAAACATACAACAAGAAATGGAAGATAATTTGCTGACAATAACATGTTTGTTGATGTGCTTGATTGAGACAATATACAGTGTACTCTGGATGGAAAATCTCATTTTGTATGCTGTAATGATGTACAGTGAATGAATGCAAATAAATAAATTTAAATATAAAAAGAATATATCTGTTTAGATATTAATTTTCTCCGTTCTTTATGGCTTTTGTAAGGTATCTATAATTTTATATTATGAGCTTTTGGTGGTCAGTAAGCAGGACATGAAGTCCAAGAGTAGCCTATTTTGGTAAAAGAACTAGAAATTTCTCTCTTATTCCCATTATTTTTGCATTGTCTTACGCTGAGGCAGGAAATGATGAGGACTTACTCCTGTTGAATTTCCCAGGGAAGCTAGTAACATGACTTTAACCCTGCTCTGTTGTAGTTGACAAACCTTCATGGGGAACTAATTTGAGTTCATTTTGGATTGGGTCCAATGTCATATTCCTCTGAGAATTCAGTACATACACCTCCGGTCCTTTGAGGCCTGAGCGGCCTATGTCCTCTGGAGGCCCTGCGTCCCATCTGCTCTTTTGTTCCATATACTCTAATTATACCTTCTCGACCCCTTGCCTAATTCTGGTCTTTAGTTTTACAATGTGCCTTTTAGATTTAACCTTGGGTTATTTCTATTTTAATGGCAAATATTTATTGAGGGAGAATCTTCTCTTTGACACTGTATATGGCAAGGTAGAAAATAATTTAGTAAAATGCTAATCACTAGGAAAATATCAGTGAGCAGATAATGATTGTGTTGTGCTAGGATTATTGATTATTTTACTTTAGCCTATAGTAGAAGAAACATAATATTTTAAGCTTTTTTTCTTCATGAAAGGCAGCAATTTTTTTCTTTTTAAATTTCTATAACCTAGAAGAATATATGATATGTAGAAGACCATCAGTTGGTGCCAGACAGTGGCACAATGGTAATACATTTAGGCCCACATGGAAAGATCCTGGGTTCACATCCCGGATACATATACATGCATCTTTGTGATCTGGACTGGCTGAGACTAGAGGTAGATCACAGCATGAAGACTTTGTTGAGGGAACCTTTCTCTCCTTTTTCTCTCTCCCCCTCTCCTTCTCCCTCTCATGGAAGAAATAAATAAGGCACCATCAATCAATATACAGATAAATATGATCAACTCAATAGAAGTTATCCCTGAACATTGGTCTGTACATATACCAAAGCTCCATTTTCCATTCAAATGCATGTCTACATAATTGAACTCTTTGTTCTAAGGAAACTAGCCAAGAAGCGGAAGGAGACCATGAGCAGCACCCGGCAGGAGATGACCGTGATGGTGAACTCAATGGACAAGAGCTATGCTGAGCAGGGCACAAACTGCGATGAGGCCTTCTCATTCATGGACACGCACAATCTGAATGGCAGATGTAAGTAAACACATTGCTTGGCTTTTAATACAGCTCTCCAGTTTTCTAGGGTTCCAGGTAGACCCAGAGGACTAAAACAAACAAACAAAAAATTGATAAAGAATTCATATTCCATATTGGTTTCTCTAGCCACTTTAATGACCTTGAAAATTCTGTGTGCCCTAGGTTTCTTAGCAGAGGTGATGCTGTAAAGGTCATAGGACCAGGTCGGGAAGCAGGAAACCACAGAGTTTCTGTAAAGATCCAGAGAGCAGTGACAAGAAGGCTTTCCTCCACTTGAGGAAGACGGAACCTGCTTCTCATCATCCTTGTTGTTTAGATCCCATTTGTAAGCTAGCCAGGTGTGGAATTACACAGGGGAAGCCTGTTATAAAACAGTTCACTAAATGGCAGTATCGAGTTAATTGTTTATTTGTTTAGCTGACAGGTTCTGCCTTTATTATAGGGTTATTAGTGGCAATTAATAAATTAAACTGTATTTCAACTTCACAAGTCTTACACTTCACTCCAGGTGGGTAAGCCAATCTCAGCTAATACCTTCCCATAGTACCACCTGTGATCCAGGTATAAGGCATTATTTTAGGAAGCTAACAATTGGATTGATTGTCTGCAGTACACGAGGAGTAGTTGTTTTGTCCCTGGTGATCCCAGAAACCAGAGGTAGATCCCATGTTGTGTGCCTGATTTTGCTGGTTCCCAACACACATTCACTGAGGTGGTCAAGACCAGAAGTTTCTTTATTATATGAAATCCATGCCATGGACCACTGCTGACTCAGCTGCATAATTGGGATGCTGATCAGCACAGTCAAGTAAGAAAGTTCAACTATTCCTGTAATTTTAAAAAAAAAAAAAAAAAAAAAAAAAAAAAAAAAAAAAAAAAAAAAAAAAAAAAAAAAAAAAAAAAAAAAAAAAGGCACATGAAGGGTCTTGTTGACTCTGCAGAGCACAGAAATGGTACCTGGAAGGGGAGACCGCTGACTGGGTAGCAACAGTGAGTGCTTGTGTCCTGACCACATGCTGTGGCTCATTGTGGTTCTGCAGTTCTTCCATTCTCCCCCCAGATTATGGCATGGTCAGCATACAGGCGCGCCCCTGAGCCTTGCATTTTTCCTGTACTTTGCTAGGCTTCAGAATTCAGCATTTGATTGATGTTCTGTTGAGAGTGGCTAAAGCCATCTCACCTTATCCTCCTACACGTATTCCTTCTCCATGCATACCTGGCTCAGTAGAGCTCCTGTGAGCAGATGCAACTTTGACACACTGGGCTCTGTTTCATTTTTGACCTTCATTCTTGCCCCTTTCAATGTCATTTTCAGTGTGTGGAATAGAAGCCATGGTAGCTCAATATACTACAAGCTACTGGCTCATCTGAAAAGTCATGATGCATTTTTCATAGAAAAATACATCATGACTTCCCCAATGGCCCAATACTTCTCATTTTTTTTATAGATTCTTTCTGCCTTGTAAAAATATATACTATAGGTCTTCAAAAAGTTTATAGAAAATGCATATTATGAAAAAAACTAATTTCAAAAAAATTCCCCCCAAAAAAATTTATATTATAATTCCATTTTTTACAGACTTCTTGAAGTCCTCTATATACAGTGCATTTAACTGCCCAAAGAGAGTAACTTATGCATTTGTTGTGAGGAAGATTTTTCGACCACATTCAAGGCTCAAAGTAGTCGCAGTTTCTTGAACATCAGGTTGAAGGGACCACACAGATATAGGGTCTCATTTTCTTGGATAACCCATTAATGTTCCCAACTTTCTATTTCATGGTGAAATTCCTCACGAATAAATTTACTTGGAATTATTCACCCAAAGAGCAGGAACCTGTATTAGTAGTTTCTAGGCGTTTGAAGTTTGAACAACAGGGGATATTTGCCTCTGGATAGAAAACTTAATTTGGCAGTTACTTTTTTAAAGTGACTGTATCTGTGAAAATCCAAAACCGCTCATGCAAAAAGGACTGGTGCAGAAGCCAACATCAGCTTCCATGGCTAGCCTGCCGTCAGGCATTGTATCATGTGCCCCTCAGTAAAGCCAACGGGAGAAACTCAACAGGATACTCTATTTTTCTCCTACTCTTTGAGCAAAGACTAGGTCTCATCAAGTCCGATCCATCAACAGTGACCCTAGTTGTAAATGTTATTATAATGCTCTCTCTATCTCTTTTTTTAAGTTTATTTATTTCTTTTATAAACAAGAGACAGAGAGAAAAAGAGTAACAGAGATAGACAGACTGAGAAATAGCTCCCCAACAAATCTTTACACCATAACCCACCTCCTCAGCCAGCCCTGTGTCATGGGCACATGCATGCACATGTGAGTCAGCATCATGGAGCATCATAGTTTATCTCTGTGCCACCATCTGGCCCTGTAATACTCTCTTAATGTTTTTAAAATAAGAGCACAGTTACTAGGGAGAGAACTGTCAGGAAAAACAATGTTCCCTTACATGACTAGGCACCAGACCCACACCTTTTTTTTTTTTTTTTTTTTGAGAGATTTTCACTGTAGGGCGCGTGCGCTCGACAGACAGACAGAGAGAGACATAGAGACAGAAAGCGAGAAATCACCCCCCAGGGGGGATGGTCACGCCGCAATCCCTTCTCCTCCATTCTCCTCTTGGGATCTTGGGCACGCATGCACACGCGCCCGGCGTGAGTTTTAAGCCACCGGGTCCAGGACACAAACCGCGGTCGACTATGTGGGAGTCCAGCGACATAGCCATTACGCTAACTGCTGGTTCCCCAGACCCACACCTTTTAATTACAAGTATGGGTATGTGTGAAACCTTGCAGAGTTGCAAGAAAGTACCAGAAGTTGTAAGTAGCTTTTAGAAATGAGAAGGTAAGAAAATTGAAATTGGAAAATTTGAGAATAAGCATGAACACATTTATGAAAGAGAAGAATAATCTGTCTACCAAAACAAATATGAGTCGTACCATTTACTTTCTATGTGATAAAAAGGGGAAAACAGATGTAGTGGGAATGGGCTTAATTTTTATACTAAAAGACCAAAGTATTTTAAAATATTGCTGTTTAACAGAAAGGTAAAAATAAACACAGGTATTTTACATCTGCTTTGCACATTGTTGCCAACCATCTAAAAAGTCTGGGGGTAATCGCTGACCTTAGCATATCTTATAGGCATTCTTTCCCGTCGTCGTTCTTTTTATCAATCGCTCTCTTTTTCCTTGGAAGCTTAACATAAACGTGTATTATAAATAAATATGACACTTCTCTGTTTTAGAAAAATATCCTATAACTGACAGGCAACTTGGGTTCTGGTCCTTGTTCTGTCACTTGGTAATTGTACACTTTGAAAACATAAACACAGGTCAAGGAGCTGCCCTTAAGCAACTGCTCCTGGTATCTAAAGTGTATTAACATGTCACCAGGATAAGTATACAGTATTCACAGGGATTCGGTAGTGCTTCCCACAACTACAGAGATGTAATTGTGTATTATTAGTCTTCTGATAAAGAAGTCAGTAGCAAATCATGGAACTTCATAAGGAGTTGTGATTTAGACTTAACAACTACAGTGATGTAATTGTGTATTAGTCTTCTGATAAAGAAGTCAGTAGCAAATCATGGAACTTCATAAGGAGTTGTGATTTAGACTTAACGGTGAATCACCTAGAACATATTCAGATCTTCATACTATAACAAAAGAATTTTTTAAAATAAAAATCAATTAACACATTTGAAGAGTTAACAGACTCATTTGAAATATAAAATACCCTATTTTCAATAGAATCAGATAAATCAGATGGGATTAATTTTCCCTCTCAAAAACAGGGAGGAAAAGAAGGTTGTATTAGTTCAATCCTGATTGCTTCAGAGGGACATATCAAAGAAAAATAAGCATTATGCTAGAGATGTAAAAGACTAATAGAACATCAAAGCATGCACCCTTCATCTTAAATATAGCAGCTCTGAAACATCACGTTTGTCTTTCATAACCCAGGTCATAGCATTATGGAGTTCTCTGCATATGCAAAATGCGAGGAAAGAGGCTTTAGCTAACTACAAAAAAAAAAAGGGATTCAGAATATTCTCCAAAATCTATGTTTAGATAATTTTCTACTTTTAGTCATAAAATTCAACTTGGTAGAAGAGCAGAATTTTATAAGCAAAGGCTAGAAGGAAAAAATAGAATTCTGATGAATTTCTCTATTCAAGAGAGTGGTTGTGGATTTTGTTCTTCATTTGTGAGTCAAGAAAAGTCAATAAAAGATAGAAGAGCACTTGTTCTCTAAAGGACAAGTAACGACCCAGAGGCAACTGGAAATGGTATCTACCCTGCAGCCTTCAGTGAATCTGGGAGGTTGCTTCATATCAAAGTCTACGCCAGTGTGGTCACCACAGGTGATCTCAGTGTCACATGTTCACAGTATTTCCGCTCTACAACTACTGACCAGCCTGCCTTTTATTTACAGCTGTGTCTTCACCATCATCCTTCACAATGAAAACAAATACACTGAGCACATCGGTGCCTAATTCCTATTACCCAGGTAACAGATTTTTCTATTGTTTCCTCTCTTCATAAGCCATTAGCAGTCAGAAACAATCAGCCCTCTGTGCGATCCAGGATGCTTTAGGAGCTTACCGTGTTGGATATGTCGTAACCTAGTGCTTTGTATGGCTTTCTGTGGGGGAACTGGGGGATCCTTCATCAATCATTTACTGTTCTTTCTCTTTTTACTTTCTCTGCCTTGACCCGCTTACGATGTATGACAGACCCATTTGTGCCAACTGCAATTTTAGGTGAGAACATTTCCCTTTATCACAGTTTATTGCAGGAGTAATTTAGAAAGTCAGTGGCTACTCTGTAGGAGATTGGAGTTTTAATTCCATAGGATGCAGTAATTACAAGCAGGATATGGGGTGAGGGGTGGCCTGGGGGGAGAGATGACATGAAGACTTTCTCTAAACAGTCTCCCTTGATAAGAAGGGTTTGTTGTATGTTATGTTGGGGATGATACTGAAAGTTTCAAATGAACAATCCCAGCTCCAGTATTCTCTCTTTCTGTGTTCAGATTTTCAAATTAGGTCTGATCCCAGGAGAAAAAACAACATGTTATCACTCAGCTGTGTACTTCCAAGAGCTGAATTCTGTCTAATGTGATAGTCATAACAGTGAAAATAGCTTCTCATTATTTTCACTTATTGCTAAGCACTGAAAACTTCAATTTCAAAAATAACATTTTTCTGATTATGCCAACTGTTATGCAAAAATAGGATCACTATAGAACTGTCGCCCTTGACCCAACCCTGGAGCCACTCAGGGCACCCCAGTATTCCAAAATGTCTGTCACACATTGGAATTTCCAAGGGGTTGATGTACTGAACAGCAAAATGAAAAGATGGCACTTTATAATCATATGGTTTATGATGTGTCAGATGTCACTGGAAATGAACTAAAATGTTAGCCCAGTGGGGCAGAATGCATTTAAAGTATGCAATATTCCCAGCAGGGGGTTACAGAAAAATATCTCGTTTGTCCAATATAAGAAGGGTGAGGAGAAATGGCATTACCTGGCTGTGATAACCAAACAAGCTTGAGCGCTGTGCATTTGAGACGCATAAATAACCCGAGTGTATCACGGCTGTGTTCTCTTTCTACTACTAACCTTACCGAAAAGGAGCACAACAAAAACGACTTCCAGGTATATAACAATTCATTGTAGCAAGAGTTCCATCCTCAGTTGTTCAACTTCTCCTTCCTACTTCTCTTTTCGAAGGTTTATCTCTTTGCAACATAATTTTCCCCCTGTGCTTCTCTTTTCTTGAAGTTAGGATTTGTGTATAGAGGGTGATTCTTTTCCTTATGGTGTTCTCTAGATGTTTCCATGTTTGTTGCCTAAGGAAAAAAATGAACTCAGGCAGAAGTTTAAACATGGATGTAAAACAGAATTTGAGAATTTTGCAACATTTTGAGGGCTAACTAACCAACCCACTAAACTCCCCCTCTCCCACCTTTTAATAGTAACAATAAGGAAGAGAAAGCTGCATTTTTATCCTTTTCATAAGTGAGGGGCATGGGCTAATCTTAGGCACCAGAACAATGTAATCTACATGCAAATGACATTTGCAGAATCTTTTGATAGGAGAAGATTTGCAATTTCTTTGTGTGCTGTAGCATTCATTCCAAGGTTCTTCTAGAAGATGCTCTGACCTTGGGGGAGCTGAGAATGGGGAGGGCTGAGACATGCATTGTCAGAGGGAAGTAAATGTTCAGATTTCACAGCAGGATTAAGATAAGCTTATTAAACAAATATCATTTTTATAGTCACTGCTTTGTTATTATGAACACTAACAGCATTTTTTTAAGTTGGTTAGGCCTCTTTACAGAAAATGACTTGCACAGACAATTAAAATAGAAAAATGATGCACATTGTAAAAAATAAGTCAACCAGGTCAACAAAATAACTGATCATGTCTGTAGTGATAAGAATGTGAATTTATAGTACATAATAAGGGTTGGGTGGTTTTCACTTGTAGTCATGGAAAGAAGAGAAGCTACTCTGGCACTTTTCCCTAGTGTACATAGCAAGAAGGAATATACCTTAGACAAGAAGGAAGGCTTTGTTGTGAATCAGAGCTCATCCCATTACATCCTCCGGTACTTTCACCTTTTAGACTCAGACGCGGAGGTACCCAGTCCTACACTGTAGAGAGCTTAAATATGTCTTTACTGGGACCCGGAGGTGACTTGGTGATTAAGGCGCTAGATTCCCACGTGTCCAATCAGGGTTCCAGTCCTGGACTTGGCAACTTAAAACTCATGCCGAGTGCTTGTGCTGGCGTGCTCTAAATCCCAAGAGGAGAATAGAGGAGAAGGGATTGTGATATGACCAACTCCCTGGGGGGGGGGGTGATTTCTTACTTTCCCTTCCTTTCACTGGAAGTCTCCAGCAAGAACATAGGCTCTACTGCAAACCCCCCCCAAAAAAGTCTTTACCTCAGACATATGAATCCTCCCTCACCTCAAAAATTTAACATCCATTTCACATCAAGATGTTGCAGCTGATTTGTTAAGCATTCAAGATAAAAATGTATTAAAGAATATAGGTAGAATTAATTCTTCGTACTTGGAAAACCATCAGAACTATTAGTGAAAGCTTTATTTCTGATTTCTTCTTACACATTATTTTTAATCTTAAGAACCTGGATCTTTCTTTAACAGATATAAGAAATTAAAGACCAAGTGATATTTTTTATCAGCAATAATTCTTTTTTTAAAACATTAGGGGAAACCAGTTAATCACAAATTTCTCTGGAACCAGGAATTTATCATATTTTCAGTGACCTAATTTCATAACAGATATCACACAAGATACCTATTCCCTTTTCAATACACAGGTACTAGGTAGTAGCGCTTTTTCGTTTTTTTACTTAATGGGCTTGGTAGTGTTTAAATGCTTTAAGATGTGACCCACACTGTTATTGAGGGCAAGATGTCACGATGCAGTACAGGATGACAAAAATACAGTAGCGACAGTGTTTGTTGTTCTGGGGGTTTAAAAGGTCTAAGAATATGTAGCCCTGGGATCAGAGCATCACTAGGTTGCTGGTGTAGCCTGATGGAAGGCCCAAATCATTTAGGGGAAGTTAGAAGATCCGCCCACAATGGAGAGCATGTTAATTATATTCATCCCACAAGGCACAAAACTGAGAGAACGAGAGAGGCACAGAGGGGAAACTAATTAATGTTCCATTTATTTTAGTGTAAAGAACAGAACTTCCTGCTGGAGTAACTGAAAGCTCAGTGGACTCAGTGCTTCAGCAGGGATCCTGTATCCCAGTTTATAAAGCATGGCCATTGCCAGCAAGCTACTCTGTTGTGAAAATGTCCAGGTTCATGTGTGACTTTTAAAATAAGACGGGAACCTAGGAATTGCTAAATTTCAAAGCAAATCCAAATGAAACCAAAAACTCATACACTCAACTTGCCACCCTTTTTTATTTTGTCTTTGTGTCTTTAGCCACCTTGTAGTGATCCAGGTGCCATTTCAGCAACAGCCACATAGCTACACACTCGTGTACCACCTTTCATACCATGCATCCTCAGGTGCTTTGCGATGCAGATAGAACTTTGAGGGCTAACTAACCAACCCACTAAACTCCCCCTCTCCCACCTTTTAATAGTAACAATAAGGAAGAGAAAGCTGCATTTTTATCCTTTTCATAAGTGTTCTTTGCACAGACAATTAAAATAGAAAAATGATGCACATTGTAAAAAATAAGTCAACCAGGTCAACAAAATAACTGATCATGTCTGTAGTGATAAGAATGTGAATTTATAGTACATAATAAGGGTTGGGTGGTTTTCACTTGTAGTCATGGAAAGAAGAGAAGCTACTCTGGCACTTTTCCCTAGTGTACATAGCAAGAAGGAATATACCTTAGACAAGAAGGAAGGCTTTGTTGTGAATCAGAGCTCATCCCATTACATCCTCCGGTACTTTCACCTTTTAGACTCAGACGCGGAGGTACCCAGTCCTACACTGTAGAGAGCTTAAATATGTCTTTACTGGGACCCGGAGGTGACTTGGTGATTAAGGCGCTAGATTCCCACGTGTCCAATCAGGGTTCCAGTCCTGGACTTGGCAACTTAAAACTCATGCCGAGTGCTTGTGCTGGCGTGCTCTAAATCCCAAGAGGAGAATAGAGGAGAAGGGATTGTGATATGACCAACTCCCTGGGGGGGGGGTGATTTCTTACTTTCCCTTCCTTTCACTGGAAGTCTCCAGCAAGAACATAGGCTCTACTGCAAACCCCCCCCAAAAAAGTCTTTACCTCAGACATATGAATCCTCCCTCACCTCAAAAATTTAACATCCATTTCACATCAAGATGTTGCAGCTGATTTGTTAAGCATTCAAGATAAAAATGTATTAAAGAATATAGGTAGAATTAATTCTTCGTACTTGGAAAACCATCAGAACTATTAGTGAAAGCTTTATTTCTGATTTCTTCTTACACATTATTTTTAATCTTAAGAACCTGGATCTTTCTTTAACAGATATAAGAAATTAAAGACCAAGTGATATTTTTTATCAGCAATAATTCTTTTTTTAAAACATTAGGGGAAACCAGTTAATCACAAATTTCTCTGGAACCAGGAATTTATCATATTTTCAGTGACCTAATTTCATAACAGATATCACACAAGATACCTATTCCCTTTTCAATACACAGGTACTAGGTAGTAGCGCTTTTTCGTTTTTTTACTTAATGGGCTTGGTAGTGTTTAAATGCTTTAAGATGTGACCCACACTGTTATTGAGGGCAAGATGTCACGATGCAGTACAGGATGACAAAAATACAGTAGCGACAGTGTTTGTTGTTCTGGGGGTTTAAAAGGTCTAAGAATATGTAGCCCTGGGATCAGAGCATCACTAGGTTGCTGGTGTAGCCTGATGGAAGGCCCAAATCATTTAGGGGAAGTTAGAAGATCCGCCCACAATGGAGAGCATGTTAATTATATTCATCCCACAAGGCACAAAACTGAGAGAACGAGAGAGGCACAGAGGGGAAACTAATTAATGTTCCATTTATTTTAGTGTAAAGAACAGAACTTCCTGCTGGAGTAACTGAAAGCTCAGTGGACTCAGTGCTTCAGCAGGGATCCTGTATCCCAGTTTATAAAGCATGGCCATTGCCAGCAAGCTACTCTGTTGTGAAAATGTCCAGGTTCATGTGTGACTTTTAAAATAAGACGGGAACCTAGGAATTGCTAAATTTCAAAGCAAATCCAAATGAAACCAAAAACTCATACACTCAACTTGCCACCCTTTTTTATTTTGTCTTTGTGTCTTTAGCCACCTTGTAGTGATCCAGGTGCCATTTCAGCAACAGCCACATAGCTACACACTCGTGTACCACCTTTCATACCATGCATCCTCAGGTGCTTTGCGATGCAGATAGAACTGAGGTTTCCAAACCAGGCCCAGCTAACTGAGCACCCTTGGACTAAATTTCCTTTGGAGCTGAACCTCTCAGTTAAAAGAAAAAATAAAATAAAATATGTATATTTAAAAACTATAGCTGAATTCCCTTCTGATACACAACCTGGTAATTTTTTTTTAATTTAACATATCCTTTCTTATATGTTTAAATTCTTTATACCTGAAATCAATTTTAATATAATTGTCTCATTTTAAGTGACTTGGGCATTATATTTTGACAATACCCATCCTCAATCATAAATGGCTTAAGGGATTCAGCATTATAATGAGTTAACCTGTAGAATATGGAATTCTTAATCTAATGACACTTTCCTGCATAAGACATTTTAATAGCTACCATTTCTGCAGTTCATTAATCTAATTTACCAGTAGTTTTCCATTAAAATACAGCCTCTTTAGGCTTATTTGACCAAATTTTGACATTAATTTTGTAGCACAATTTGGTTGACTTGTTCAAGAAATTTAAATGAGAAAATGTGTTGAATACAAATAAGACTTATTTAGTCATTACTTGGTTCATGGGGGATGAAAAGCAATTATGAGACTAATTTTAACCTCCTTTTTGTTATTGAGTGCTTAAATTAAACACCTCCATCCTAACATGATGGGGGAATTGAGGCCTTGCCCTCTGACCACCTCTGAATAGAAAACCTAACTGGAAAATTAAAGCACAAAATAAAAACTACCTGTAATTATTCACACAGTACTATTGCTTATGCCCTGTTTCCTTTTTCTCCTCCTCTTTTCTCCTGATATGTATCTTCTTAAAAGTGCCAATAAATGGTAAGTTCCCCGATTTGCCCCATGGAAAAGTTGCGGAGGGAGTGGGTGTTTGTGTCCTACCTGTAGATTCTGACGAAGCCAGCTGGCGCTGCTCTGTGCTGGCCTGCATGTTCGCTGTGGTAGAACATTCCATGTGTGATGTGTTGTTCCACAATATTTTGTCAAGCTTACCGATGCCGGAGCATGCAAAGTGACTCATCAAAACATGATCCCCAGACTAAGTTTTCTTTTGTTTTTCCGCTCGTTGATTTCACATATGAAGTCCACATTTCCATTGCTAGCTTTGTAAGCCAAACCATTTTGTGCACTTTTATTTTGCTCACAGAACATTTGTACAGAGTTTATTCACATCCTCATACCAACTAGTTAACTAATGTTTGAAAGAATATAAGACTGGCTTTGCAGCAGGTCTTGAGAAGTTTCAGATCGAAACTTCTACAAACTTTAGCTCCAGAAGGCTAAAAGGCTCTTATCAATTAGCGTTGTGAAAGTAATAATATCGTTTGGACTGCTTTGTAAAAATAAAGGAAAGAAAGAAAAAAGAAAAGATGTCTGCCTCATTCCTATCAGTATTGCTGATCCCATGTAAATTCCTAAACATTTAACTTTTCTTTTTTGCTGAGCCATCCTAGGGACTATTGCCGCCATAGGTTGAGGGGATGTCAGCGGCAAGCTTCTTAGCTTCTCAGTGATCCCAGTGGTAAATCCCATTGGTTCTCTCTCATTTTCTCCTGGGCCTTCTTTTCCTAGATGAAACCCATACGATGGCCAGTGATACCAGCAGCTTGGTGCAGTCACACACTTACAAGAAGCGCGAGCCAGCCGATGTACCCTACCAGACTGGGCAGCTTCACCCCGCTATCCGGGTGGCAGACCTCCTGCAACACATCACACAGATGAAGTGCGCTGAGGGCTACGGCTTCAAGGAGGAATATGAGGTGAGCACAAGCTTCGTGCCAGGGCTTCTTCCTGACACTGTGCCAGGTATGGTGCTTCCCACGTGTGCAACAAGCCAGAGGAACCCCATGAGAGATGCCAGAGAGGGACCAGGTGATCTCATACATGGATCCATTTCCATGTGGTGAGAAGACTTACTAGGACTTGATAGGAGCAAAAAGGAAGAACACGTCATCTTTTACCTTATTCCATAAATATGTAATGAAAACAGAGTCCTACCAGGCTCTCTTCTTCTCCCCATTCTTGATCACCTTCCTTGGCTTTTCCTGTAATTAAATAAGATTATAAATTCTAATAATTTTGCAGTAGTTATCTCAGGAAGAAACTGCCCACTTAAAGCAATTATAGACTAACCAGCAATGTCATGTGGTGGAGATTAGTAAAGGCACTGGCTATTGTCATGGCTGTGACAGCTGTTATTGTCCCGCCAGCCCAGAAAGCATGCTGCTATACTGGAGTCTGGTGGGGACAGCTGTCAGGGATATTTCCAGGAATGGTGATATTCTCCTACTATACATAATATGTGGGGTTTACCCTCTTCACAGCCTCCATTAGTTAGTTCTGTTGGAAGGTCATTCAGGAATTGAAGAGAAGTAACTGAGCTGAAGTCTGATTCAAAGAAGCATACTTTCACTTGAGGGTGTGTGTGGGTGGGTACAGGGGGTAGTAAGGCAGGAGATTGGGTCATTTTTGATGTTGCTAAAATTAGTTTGCAGTCATTGATGAAGGTAGAGTAGCATGTTTACTCAGAATAAAAATAGAAGTATATTGCTATGTGACTTTTAAACTCTTAGAATATCTGTCTGGTCTTATGTCTACCTTCCTAGCTGTAATGGGAACCATCCTACCTGGACTTAGAATATTTTAAAAATAAATTTCTAACACCTACATAGCCTTCAGGCTTCAAACCTTGTTTCTTTCTTTCCTTGTGAGTACACTTGTGAGTACACACACGACACTTAATTTTACGCCCCAGATGCTGCCTTATCTTGGGTCTAGCTCTCTTTCCAAGCTTGATTATCCAAGATTCATTATGGCAGTCCAAGAAACACATGGTGCCGGTGGTGGTTGTGCCCCTGCTCTCTTCTGTTCAGATTAGGCCCTGGGTCCAACGCAGACAAATAAACAGCTCTGCCAACACGTGCGAGCTGGTGAGTTGCCTCGACCTCAGTTCAGAAGACTGCAGCGCCAAGGAAACTGATCCAAACCATACCCCGAGGTTTTGATTTCAGTCCAGAAAATATTTTCAGATAAGTTCTGCCGTTTAGCAACCCTGAAATTCTTAGATTTACCTTCAGCAGCTCAATGTATAATTCAGTGAAATTGACTGCCTTTGCATATTTCCTCATGTACTTTTAAAGGCTAGCTTAGGAATTAATAGGATTAAGAGTAAGACTTCCAAAAGCATTAATATCTTATGAAAGACAAAATTAGGTTATTGAGAAAATATGAGCCTAATGAATAGGGATGATGTCTTAGTTCTAGCCAATATTCTGAATGTAGATATTTCTCAAATGTTTATTAAAGATGTTAATGTCAAAGAGATTAGTTCTAGGCTCAGATAACAATTCATAAAATAACTTGAGTCCAATTTTTCATGGGCTATTTAATAAATACCTACCCTCAGACTTTCTATAATTCTATAGATGGTGCATATTTGAAAGTATGAAAAAAATTATTTTCCATTATGATCCTCTGTGTAAACTAAAATATTCTAGTCATTGTTGTGACTGACAACTCATTGAGAAATGTTATACCCTGAAATAAAATGTACTGTTAAATGTGTGTGTGTGTGTATGTATGTGTGTGTGTGTGTGTGTGTGTGTGTGTGTGTATATATATATATCTTAAGGTTTTTGCCATAGGGCATGTGTACTCACTGCAGAGAGACAGAGAGACAATGAGAGGGAAAGTGAGAAATCACCCCGGGGAAAGTGGTCAAACTGCAGTTTCTTCTCTTCTAATCACTTCTTAAGATTTTGGGCATGCACACACATGAGCCTGGCGTGATTTTTCAAGCCTCCAGGTCCAGAACTTCACCCACAGTTGGCCATGTGAAAGTTCAGCACCTTAACTACTACGCTGCCTGTTGGCCCCGAATTAATTATATTTTAATAAACTTTTTTCCCATTCTAGCTATGAAATGATTACAGAGAATTGTAAAAAGAAAAATACTTTAAATGCCAAAGCCACTATTAGGGATTTTGTTTTTGTTTGCTTGTTTAAATGAAAGAAGAGGGGAAAGGAATAGATGAAAAAGAGCATATACTAGAACCAGAGCCAGGTAGTGGCACGTAGTAAGGCACAGTAGTAATGCGACTGGATCCATGTGGGAAAGGTCCTAGGTTCGTGTCCCTGGATATCCCTGAATGCTCAGGATGAGTACATCCACACCTATGATCTGGGCCAGCTGAGACTGTGGGGCAGTGGGAGGGGAGGTATTGACAATGTGAAGACTATGTTGGAGATGCTGTCTCTCTCTCTCTCTCTCTCTCTCTCTCTCTCTCAGAAGAAATAAATAAATTTACTTAAAATATAACATATTTTAGAAAAGAAAGCAGGAAAAAAACAGAAGCAATTATTAGGAGGAATATGAAATGGAAAATTCTATTAGTAATCATCCTATACACCCCCACCTCCACACTCCACTCATAGGATGATGCCACTGATATTGGGGATGGGACAGAGGGAGTAGGACATGAGGAGCCATGATGATGGGTAAACCCACGAGATACCTGCAAGCAGAAGGAGATACCTCCTCAGAAGCATGTGCCATTTCATTCATTACGTGCTCAATATTTATGGAGACACAACCAAATTTCTGAGAATTACAGTCCCAGGCTGCTAATCCTCATGCTTTACTTTCTCTAACTTCAGGAAGCTTTTATTCTCTAACCCTAGGAAGCTTCTTTGGTCCATTCTATTGCTAATAACAGAATTGCCTGAATCTGGGTAACTTTTATTAAAGATTTTTTTTTCCAGCTCATAATTTGGAGGTCTAAGGTACAGGGGCAATATCTGGTGAGAGTCCTTTTGCCAGAGGATGACACAATTGAGAGTAAGAGCTTGAGCAGTGTTAGCTATCAGAAGGAAAGATACCAATTTACAGTGAGACTGAAGAAAGCAAGTTCACACCATGTTCTTTGAAGGGAAACTATGTGACATTGAGCTTTCAGGACATCTCTGTCATTTCTTGTGTGAAGCATCTGAAGCTAAATTAAGCCACTCATTATGGAAAGGGGTTGGTACTTTTAGCTTTATCTATCAGGCTAAATGTTTTCTTTACCATGTATTATATATCACAAAAAATTCCTATTAAAATAAAAATAGATAGGTTTCATTCTGTGGATCAAGAGCTTAAAAACTGAGAAAAATGCATGCTGACACCCATTATTGCTGAAACAGTATTTTTATGTCTAAGTTAGGAAAGTTTCATTTTGTTTGTTTCATTATTTTTAGTTTTTTTTTCCAGAGTGTGTGCACTCACCAGAGAGAAACAGAGGGAGGGACAGTGAGAAATCACCCCCCAGGAAGATGACTACACCACAGTCTCTTCTCCTCCATTCTCTTCTCGAGAGCTTGGGCACACACATATATATGCTCCCAGCTTGATTTCAAGCCTCCAGGTCTAGGATTCAAACCATGGTCCATCATGCTAGAGTCCAGCACTTTAACTATCACAGCACATGCTACTCCCTAAGTTAGGAAAGTTTTAAAGAGTAATATGAAGAGGCCTCAAAACAGTTGTGGAGAATAGACCAAGATATAAGTTTGGTTTTTTGTTGTTATTTTTTTTTAGAGGTTTTCGCTATAGGGCGCATGTACTCTCCAGAAGGACAGAGACAGAGAGACAAAAAGCGAGAAATCACCCCCCAGGGTGCAATCCCTTCTCCTCCATTTTCCTCTCAGGATCTTGGGCATGCACGCACATGTGCCTGGCGTGAGTTTAAGCCACCGGGTCCAGGACTCAAACCACGGTCGACTACATAGGAGTCCAGCGACATAGCCATTACACTAACTGCTGGTCCCCAAGATATGAGTTTTTAATGCAAATATTTGAAACTCATGTGTAGTTTTTATACAACATGCATTTTCCATTAACTTTTTGACGATCTCGTGTATAACTATAGACCACAGAATTGTCTTTTTAAAAAAGAACTGGTTGTATTGGTGTCTTTAACAAAATAGAATTTGGAGGAGAATTTAATTTAACAAACATTATCCTGTGCTCTGTGCTTGGGCATACAGAGAAGCACATCTCCCTGCCCTCAAGAGCTTCATGCAGGAGGAAGCAGCAAAGTTAGCACCTGCAGAACATCTGGTCAAATCCCACAAGTCCCTAGAGCAACATACAGGGCTACTTTGAAGGCCAGTGGAAGGCAGTGAGCTGGCCTGGGCAGGAATAAGTTTTCCTCCACAGATGAATACGTATTGGCCAAAGAATGTGAAAGAGAGAGGTGTTCCAGATAGACACAAGAGTGAGAGAATGGGAAGTACTGGGCAATAACAAGGAGTCTGTGCTGAGTCACGGGAGCAGCCAGGGCACAAGGCAGTCAAGGCGCCAATCACAAAGAGCCGTGGAAGTCACTCTTAGAAGTTCAGATGTCATTCTGGAAGCAGTGAGAAGACAAGAAAGACTCAGATGGCAGGAGGCCTATGCCCATGCTTAGATGTGATTTGTTTAATGTGAATAGCTCCAGTTTTAAAAATCATTTGTGTGAGAAACATAGTAATTGCTTGAGAGGTAATAATCAATACATTTAAAAGGGTAGGGGAGAGATATAATGTCATTACTGAAGAATTATCTTAGGAGTTATATTGCTCTAGTGTGCTTTAAAATGTTATGGAAGGGCCAGGTGGTGGTACAGAGTGATGCTGGCCTACATGGGAAGGTTTGGGGTTCTCCCCCAGAGACCTCTTGAGTGGCCAGGCAAATGCATGCCCATGATCCAGGGTTAGCTGAAGATGGATGTGATGGTAG